CGCTCTTTGATACTGGGCTCCAGATTGGCACCCACCTTGACTTCTCTTTTGTCTTCTTCGGTACCTAGGTTGATTGTGTCCACTGGTTCCTCGCGGGGCTGAATGGTCCTCTCTTCTTGTTGCAGTAACCTGACGAGTTCCCCCAGTACTTCACAATCTTCTTCACCTTCGTCTTCGGCTTGGTAGATTAGATTTTCAGAGTCACAAAAGGCTATAGCATAACTGTTACCCATGGGATCCCGAATGGATGTAGACCTGCATTGTGAGTGTGAGTGTGTGTAAGAGCACAACTATATTTGAAAGAAATGAAAATGTAAAAAGAAAAACAACGAGCACAAAGTTTGTATGCAAAAACGTCCATGATTCATTGATGTCATATGGAAATGAGATAATAACTCTTACAAATGGACCATTGTGCCTCGGGTAAGACATAAGGTTTTAAGAGTCTGAATTGTTTTAATATTACAGATCCAACAAAATGTAAAGATAGATTACTGTGGGATAAAAATGATCGGGACAAAATCTCTAGCCTCCCAGTTACTGAGCCCTCCACTGACAGTTGGGAAAATCCAGTCCTCCAGGTTATAGCTGTCTTCATCATCTTCTACTGCATTGACTTCACGGTTGTTGATCTTCAAGGGTGATCCTCTGGCACGAGTGCGGCATATAGCTTTCTGGGCACCTGAAGTGAAACTCAGACCAAATTTATCAAATTTGTATGGGATATCTGGGAGTTGTCCCCAAATAGTGCACCCACCTTCTTCTATCACTGCCCTGGCATCCTTCAAAGACGACATCTTAAGTTGAGGCCCTGTGATCTTGGGAACTTGAGACACAACCTTGGTTACTGCCACATCTTGCAGGACTTCTTCAAAGTGTTGGAATGGAGTTTCAATAAATTCACCATCTAGTTCCACATATCTGAAGGAATTTAGATGGCTGATCATATAATCTTCTTCTCCATGAACAATGATGATTTTCCCTTGATTTAGATATTTCAACATTTGATGCAATGTAGAAGTAACAGCGCCAGCATTGTGAATCCATGGTCGGCCTAGCAAGCAGGAATATGAAGGGCGAATATCCATTACATAAAAAGTTGAATCAAATGTTTGGGTTCCAACCTTTATAGGGATATCCACTTCCCCATGCACCATCTTTTTTGAGCCGTCAAAGGCCCTCACTAATATGTTGCTTGGTTTCAATGTCAATCCTTCACAATCAAGCCTATCAAGAGCCTTTTTAGGCAACACATTCAGAGACAAACCGATGTCAACCAAGACATGAGCCAACGTCGTGTCCCTGCATTCGACTGAGACATGTAATGCCTCATTATGCTTCCTCCCTCTTGGCGTTAAATCAGTATATGAAAAACCTAGACCATTATCTGCAGTAAAGCTGGCTACGCAGTCTTGGAACTGATTGCCAAATGTTTCTTGGGGTACATGGGCAGTTTTGTGGAATTTTACCAAGGCCTTTGCATGCGCCTCAGAACATAGTAATAAAGCCAACATGGAAATTTTTGATGGAGTTTGCCCCAGTTTCTCGACTACATTGTAGTCGCTTCTTTTTATGATCTTTAGAATTTCCTCCATCTCTCTCCGGGAGGTCTCTAGGGATAACCACTGATTGTGCCTTCGTCCGGACAGACTCAACCAGAATACCTTTACCTCGAGTCTCGGTGAACTCGGCAGCAAAAATGCCAGTAAGGGTGATAACAGAGTATTTTATGTTTTCCCTTAGATAAGTTCTTATATTCAGAAATAGTCTTTACTTTTCTCTTTTAGATTTCCTTTTAATTATGAACGTTTATGGTTTACAACTTAAAACATTTATTTCATATTATTAATTGATTAATAATGGTGATAGTGTCAAAATTAAGACATTTATTATTGATATTATTAATATGAATAACAGTTTTATAATTAATTATTTTTTACAAAATAAATCAAAAAAAAATTCCACATTTTAATTAATTTTATCACATATTAAAATGAATTAGTTGTTTGACTAATGGTTTTCTTAAATCTAAAATAAATTTGTTGATATAATTATTAGGAATAATGCAAATAATTGATGTGGTGTAAATATAGTATTTATGTTTTTTATTAAATAAATTTTCATAATTAGAAATAGTTTATACTTTTTCCCTCTTAAATATTCGACAAATTTGTAATATTTATGTTTTATAGTGCATAACTTAAAACATTTATTATTATCATTATTAATTTTTTTAAGAAATTTAAATATTTTTTATCATGATTTTTGTTAGTCATCATATATTTTATTTGAGTTTTGAATGATGTCATCGATTTAGATTTGTGTTAGTCTTTTGATTTAACAAAATAATATTAATTTTAATAATAATATTATTATTATTATTATTTTAAGATATTATAAAAGATTTACATTAGATTATAGATAAATATGAAAATTTTGAATGATATAATTGAAATATAATAATAAAATTATTTAAATTAAATTAAAGATTTAAGGGAAGATAATTGTATTTAATTATGATTAATTTATATGAGAATAGATATTAATAAAATTATTGTAATCATATTTAATTGGAAGAAATTTCAATTATAAATAAAAGTACATATATCAAGTTTTATAAATTAAACTGTACCGTAATCATATTAAAGATATGTGATCATACGATGAAAAATTAGGTTTTATATTTGTTAATATGAATAAGTATTTGAAATTACATATAATTCATTTTTTTATATATTTAATTTATTAATAATGTTGATATTGTCAAAATTAAGATATTTACTATTAGTATTATTAAATTTTATAACAGTTTTATATTTAATTAATTTTAACAAAATAATTCAAAAAGTATTTTTCCATCTTTCAATTAGTTTTATCTCATACTAAAATGAATTAGTTGTCCAACTAAAGTGTTTTTCAAAATCTAAAATATATTTACTATTATAATTATTAGAGATGATATATATAATTGAGAAGTTGTAAGTGGATTATTGTATGTTTTCTCTTAGATATATTCTTATAATTAAAAATTGTCTTTACTTTTCTCTCTTAAATTTCCGGTTAATTAATAACGTTTATGCTTTACAATTTAAAGCATTTGTTAAAACATTTTTTTTCATATATTTAATTTATTAATAATATTGATAGTTTCAAAATTAAGACATTTATTATTGGTATTATTAATATTTATAACAGTTTTATAATTAATTATTTTTTACAAAATAATTCAAAAATTATTTTTCCACCTTGTAATTAATTTTATCACATACTAAAATGAACTAACTGTTTGACTATTGATTTTTTTTAAATCAAAAATAAATTTATTTATATAATTATTAAGAATAACGCAAATAATTAAGGTGGTGTAAGTAGAATATTTTATATTTTTCATTAAATAAATTTTTGTAATTAAAAATAGTCTATGATTTCCCTCTAAAATATTCAGTAAATTAGTAATATTTATATTTTATATTGCATAACTTAAAATATTTATTATTATCATTATTAATTTTTGTAAGAAATTTAAATATTTTTTATCTTAATTTTCGTTAGCTATCATATATTTTATTTTATTTTTGAATGATATCATCGGTTTATACTTGTGCTTGTCTTTTGATTTAACAAAATATTATTATTATTATTATTATTATTATTATTATTATTATTATTATTATTATTTTAAGATATTATAAAAAAAGATATGCATTAGAGTATAGACAAATATGAGAATTTTGAATGATATAATTGAAATAATTATTTAAATTAAATTAAATATTTAAAGGAAAATAATTGTATTAATTATGATTAAATCACATGACACTAGATATTAATAAAATTGTTGTAACATTTTTTTAGTATAGAAGTTGAAGTGATGAAGAACAATTGTAACTTTTTTATTAGATTAAATTTTAAGAGTGACACATGTAATTTTAATTGATGTGATAATATATAATTATCTTGTATATGGCATGTCATGACATAGTTTGTCTCTTTAGATTTAATATATTATAATAGATAATAGATAGATAGATAATAGATAAAGATAATAGATATGAATGATAGTGAAAAGTTATAATTAGTTGAAGTTATTCTCATGAAAATATTTTAGTCTCGTCTTTTATGCATTGGAATAAAAATAGAAAATTTATTTGAAAATAAAATTCTTTGAAATAAAAAATTTCTTAAAATAATTTTATAAAACTTAAATCAAACATAAAAATATTGCATTCTTATAGTCACATTCCCATAAATATTTATTGTAATCTTGAAACAAACACCCATAAGAATTGTATGTGAAACACGATGCTAGTCTTTGTACTATTATATCTCTCAAACCAATTTAGAAAACTTTTAGTCAATTATTTCAATGATAAATTCAATACTAAATAAGTTCTTGTGTAAGATATAGAGGAATATCTAGAAAAATTATTAAGAAAATTTTTGGAATGAACAAATTTGATAATAACATGATTTTTGATAGAATATTATATCATATAGCCAACATACTTTTTGATCTCAAATCGTAAACAAACGCCACTCATGAAAAATGACCTACTGGTTATTATTTAAGGTGCATTAACATATATATATATATATATATATATATATATATATATATATATATATATATATATATATATATATATATATATATATATATATATATATATATATATATATATATATATGCAAATATTATCCAAAATAATTAATAATATCAAATATAATATATAAAGACAAGAGAGGAAATTTAGTATAAGTAATATTTATTCATGTATAAAGTACATTAAAGGAGTTGTAAACTCCAGCATTAAAAATGGTTATGACACACACAAATTGAATCAACAAGTACACTTGAATAGAATTATAAATTAACACAAGAAATGTAAAGAGATGATAAAATAGTGTCGGAGAGGAGATACAAATGGTAGTTATTGCAGAAAATGTTGGGCATATGTGAATATATATAATGAATAAGAAAGTAGAATGATAGTAATTAGTTAAGATGATTTGGCAGGGTGAATAGTAAACCAGGTTTGGACAATTCCAAAAGCAAGTGCGAGCTCGGAAGCGTGGACGGCAAAGTTAGTCCAAGGGTGACGAATATATGATAGAAAATGGTCAGTGTTAGTCTTCCATTTATTAGCAATATGCTTGTTGATTTCACCAAAAACACCTGAATATATATCCGCATTAGTTGCTACATCAGTAGCTATAAAATGGAATAGCTTAACCAATTCTTCATCACCTCCGTAGTTACTACGTAAAATCCCTGCTGATCTTAAGTCTCTCACATCTTCTGGTTGGCGGATGAGTGAGTTTACGAATGCCAGAAATGTGCCAATCGCATAATCATTTTTAAAATCGGGACACATTTCGTATGCTAACAAGTTAAGGAAGATAGAAACTGTTACATCATCCAAAACAATCTCAGGAAGCATCAATTCTCCATTTAGCCAGCCGTGGGAGAGTGACACTTCTGTTAGTCTGCATCTCTTGTTTGATTTTATTTTGATACCGTTTGATTTCAGCTCCTGTATGTTCATGTATCTTACAACACTATTGCTGATGCTTTTACCTCTCTTCACCTAAAATTGGCAAATATTCATAACTAATCATATATGTTTTTTCAAATATTTAATGTTAAAAAAATAGTTTTTAAAATGAAGAACATCACCAACAGCTAGTTTAATTTATAGATAAAATCCATATAACTGTCAACATTCTGATACCTGGTCCACACTAGAGAACGGCAGCAACGATATGCGAAGAAGATCAAGAAGATGAGTAGGCTTTTCATCATTTCGTTCTTCGAGTACCTTTACCCATTCATTAACTATAGCATCCGTGGACATTGTGGATTCTTTGAAGCGATATCCGCCAACATGATTATATCCTAGAAACATTCTTAAACTCTCAATCCAATTACCCTCACCACTGGCCCCAAACATTTCCAACAACATGAACGGCAACTGGTTCTCCAATAAAAGTACATCCCTACTCACAAGTTTCATAGTCCTTTCCTCCATTCCAATAACATTTTCTATGTCTATGATATACAGCAAAGAACATGCATCTACCAACAACATCCATGTTAACTTTTCATCCAAGCTACGGAAGCTTAGTAGAGTATTGCTGGTTAAAACATTATCGGGAAAATGATCGCTGCTTAAAACATTATCGTCAAAAAGTTTCTTGATTGTCTCAAGCTTGTCTGTAATTTTTTTGTAAAGACGTTTTGGGTCTTGGCTTGACTTGTCAAGGAACTTTTGTGCCCAAATAAGCTTGTACTCCTCTCCTATCTGCAATTTTGGGTTACCATGATGGATAGGGCCCAATGATAATACCCTGGGAAGATAATAGCTTGTAAAATCATTTCGATATCTAAGATCATTTGCTACCATTTGTATTTTGCAGCGTGAATATTCTGTTCTTTCGGTTGAACTTTTCATCTCTGCTAACCTATACTCAAGCACATCATCAGGGGACATATTCATAATGTTATGCTCAAAGTAATCCTGATTTGTAACGAAAAAACAAATATATTTATTGGGTGCAAGTATAGTGTGGTGTGTAGTTAGTTGCCAAGGTATATATATACATGCACGACTTTACCTGATGCACAAGATAAGTATATTGATTATTTACAAGTGTGTTAGAAACTATTGGTAAATTGTCATCTAATAAAAATTTATCATTTAATCATATCATATAATTTATTTAAAAATAATAATATTAATTATCACTTAACATGAATATAATTGATTGACATTATAAAATTATTTTATACTGTGAATGTACATTCCTAAAATTATTTAGGGATTAATTAGCAAGGAAAGAAAAGTATATCAAATGCTTGTAAGGAAAACATCTATGTTTTCTTAACAAGCAAAATAAAATAATAGATTTATATAATAAGGAAAAAAATCTAAAGTCAATTTTGATGGGTCATTATGAAGGGAATATTCACATCAGGTTAAACACTTACCTTATGTTATGTGAGAGAGATATCACACATTCATCAAAAACTCTAAGGTGATAGGTGTATGGATTATGTCACTTATAAAGTGTTCAACTTTAACTTTTAAGGCAATGTGAGACTTTAAACTCATATTTGTTTCTTAACAATCTCTTTCTCAAGTGTGAATTCTTCCACTATGCTTCCTCTCAAGTGAAAGCTCTTATCTCCATATACTTGTGTTGCTGTTGACAAACACCTTTAGGCCTTCAGCAATAATAATCAATAAGCAGAAAAATAACAGAATAAAGCGAGAAAAGTTAAAAAGTTTGTTTACCCAGTTCGATCAGAAGATCTACTCTGAGGAAAATAACAAATCTCTAATTCACTATAGTTAGAAAAATTGTTACAAGGAGATTATAAATGAGTTACAAGAAAATAGCCTTCACCTTCAAAATTCCCAAAAAAACATTCCTGAAGGCGCCCAAGAACAAACTCTATTTTCTACCTTCTCAACCTCTACAACTCTGAATAACGGAAGTACACAAATCCAAGGTATAAACAAGTGTTTCCCAATCCCCTTAGATAACTCCAAAGATTTCCCAAAATCCTTGCCTTTTTAAGTTTTTCCTTGAGAATACCTTAACCACTCTGCTATACTCTTTTGTTTTAAACTCTAAGATTGTCACCCTATAATAACTATAAGAGATACATATTTATAATTACTAAAACCCAACATAAAAAGCCCAAAACATAATTCATTAATTATTATTTTATAATTTATTTTATATTAATTGAGACTATTTCTAAATTAATATATATTCAATATTCAAACATTAAATAACATATCCGCAAATCAAATCGGTCAAACCCTAAATTCACGAATCGCCTAAACTAGATATTTTTGCTGCTTTTCGACTTCTTGATTTTGGAAAATCTTGAAATATGTTTTCTTTCTTTTCATAAATAAATGTCTTAAGGAATACTTCAATTGTCTCCACCTTGACTTGAAATTATGTTGATGTCAATTTAACCATCAACAACTTTGCTACTCTCTACCATGTTGAAACTCTAATCAACAATCTTGATCAAGTTCAAACCACCCTTAAATCTTGATCTCGCCACTTGCATCCACTTGTTTAATTACCCTTTTTTTTCTAAGTAATTTAACAAGCCCACAAGTTTGATTTTTCAACCGTCGTTGACTTCACCTGCTTTCTCATGCCTCCATAAAGGTTCTTTTTTCTGTATTTTACAACTCTTTAGTCACATTTAAAACATAACACTCAATGCTATCATAATTGTCTCTTTGAGATGCTACGATCTCCATCTTTATCTTATCACGATTCAAGTGAAAGTAAGATATCTATGTAACTGTTCCCTCACTATTACTAGTATCCATAATAGAAAACTACACCTCAAACTGAGTTTTCTCCATTATAATTTCTAAAAGGTTTATCCCTTGGTTTTTACAATTCCTCCTCTCAAGAAATTTTCTACCAACCAATTAATCTGCTTTGACATCAATCTTTCCCCAAAAACTCAATAACAACTCAGCAGTTACATGCATTTTTATCCCTTTTTTTCTACAAAATTCATTATACACTTTTGAAATAGCCTAAAGGCATTCATAACGCCTTAACCTCAAATCCCATAGGTTTTTCTTATCATGAAATCCTTCATGAGTTAGTGATGAATGAATAAAAACATTTGAACCTTCTAAAATATATAGACCACATATCTTAGACCCTTTATCAATAATCACTTTATCACGCGAAATCTTTAGCACTACACGTTCAACTCTAGTGCAATAGTCTAAATCATCAAACATACTTATAGATGCTAAATTTCACTTGAGTTCTGAAACATACTTCACATTACAAAGCCAAGCAGGTGAAGAAACACTTCAACTTCTTCTAACTAAACAAACTAGAATTATGATGATTGGGACCCTATACAAAAATTCGCTTACACATACACTTGGGATATGCTTGAAGCGAATAAAAGATATTTCATGTTTATGCATAATTATATGCACCAGTTGCAATTGCAGATAAGGGAAGCACATGTTGATCACTAGATTACAACTTATGAGACATTTCAGGAGCATGCTAATTGGCCTGAGGGTAGGCCATTTTATCCGGAGGAGGCAGCTGGTGATGAAGACGTTGAAGACGAAACAAGTGATGATAGTGGAGAATAAGATGATATGAGTGATGATGATAATTCTTGATGACCTTTGGTGATATTTTAGTATTTTTTATTTTTTTTTTGCTTAGAATTTATTTTGATGTTGTTGAACTTATGTTGCTTTAAGACTTGTTTTGGTTTATTTTATACCATCCTTATTACGATGTGGAATTATGGAGTGGCATTCCATGTCACAGTAACTCTTTGGGACACCATAACTTTTTGTGGTGGTTTTTGATTAATTTAGTTGTTTGTTTAAATTGTTTCATATAGATAGTTTAGTAGTTTAGTTTAATTTGAAGTTAATATTTTAGCAACAAAAAATTTGAGTTTGTTGCAAATATTGTCTTTAAATGGCTTGAAGAAGCAATTAGTAATGATTCCAAGATTGAATGGATCAACATGTAAATGTTTTGGTAATGATAAAAACTTTAAAAGACGGTACAAGGGCAAGGAACATATTTATTGTTTTCTAGACCATATATGAATATAAATTTTTTAATTGTACAAACATCATGTCATTCATTCTTTTTCACTACATGTTCGTGATTAAATAACTTTAGATCAAAGCCTAAAAGTGAGGAAACTTTCTAATTTGTGCTTTTCTGCTTTCAATAGGATTTGCTTTGATGACTGCATAAGTTGATCAAGATGTTAACAATATTTTTAGGTGTGAGTCAACTCCCTTATTTTTGTTCTTTATCCATTGATGAAGATGAGTGCTAGGTGTGATTCACATTTGAACATGTGTTGTCTTGGAATTTTTTACATGAGTTTTGTGTTTAGAATTTATTTCATGATCATGGTTTGGATGTAGTGTAGCGGTAAGCATTACCTTACGTGCGCTTTTGAAATTTTGAACCATGCATTTGTCTTCTTTTCTCAAAACTTGTTTGATCATTAAAATATCTTAGAAGTTGCTCTTGTTTCTTTAAGTTTGTAAGAATCTTGTTTGAGGAAAATTAAAGTTCTAAGTTGGGGAGAGTTGATAAGTGTAAATTTGTGTTGAATATTTTTATAAAATAGTGCCACTTATTAACTTGATAAATTAGATTTACAAGTCAAAACCTTAACTTTTGTGTGAATATTAGTTTTAGTGAATTATCATGTAAATATTGTGTATATTTATAATTTACAACTCATTTTGTAAGTATTTTTTGCATAGGAGGAGCTTTTTACATTAAAAGGCAAAAGAATTGCTCTAACATGTATTTTTTTGATCAAAAGCAGTCTTGCAGGTGGGGCTAAGCGCGCTCAAAGTTCCATTAGAAGTAAGAATTTCAGGGATGTTCGCGCAAAGCGCAACCTTTTAGCATGAGGGAGTTAAGCGCCCCTCACCTTCGCTAAGCACCATTTAAGACGGTTTGCTTCCATTTGTTTTTTAACTGCGCTAAGCAAGCCTTGTTGGCGCTTAGCGCGTCATGCTTTTTATGACTTGTATAAATAGATCATCACTTCAGATTTTTAACCCTAGACACCAACTTTAAGAGAGGAATACACCAAGAACCATAGAAAAACTCAGAATCAAGGAATCAGAGTTACATATGCAACAATAGTCGACTTCTCAATATTCATGCTTATTCATCTATTCTCCTTACTCGTACTCGTATGTATTTCTTTTGATTATTTTTATGTGAACTAGTTATGAATCTATATTGATGTTATATTTGTTTTCATGTTATTTTTATGGTTTAGATCATTATTGAGAAATATCTTTTTAAGTCTTGACCTAAGATCATTATTTATCAAATAACAAAGTCTATATAAATATTTGGAGTTTGATATTCACCTGTATTAAGTTTTAATGTTATTGTATTGCTTAATAGGTAGAGAGATCATCGATTAAACAATACAGTAAAACTCATGTCACCAGTTAGACATAAGCGATGTTGAAGAGTCATATGTGATAATAGCAATTAATGAATATGTTTACGGGCTAGGGTCAGTTGAATACATATGAAATTGGTTGATGAAATCCAATCCTAAAATGTTTCTCTAATCGTTAATTTCTTAAGAATTTACCATCGTTATACTTTATTATAAAACGTTACTTTACTAAATCATAACTTTTATGAATATTTCCTTTAAATCATATTAATTGTAGAACGGTATTGATCTCGCACTAATCCATGTGGAGACGATACAAACAATACTTGCCCCCACTAAAAGTAGTTCATCAGCTACCCTCAGGTGGATTGTGGATCCAACTACATTGAGCTTTTCGAGGAAGGATCTCTAAAGGATACCTCTGAATGCATTTGTACATGGAATTACAGGGAAGCTGAGGGTTACCTTCCTCTCACATGCTCATTCTCTTAATTCCAATGCTAGATCTATTTTTCCACAAGG